GTGTGTGTGGTTGTGTGTGCATGTGTATTTGTAATATCAAAACGTATTCAAGATTTCCTAATAATGGCATTAATAACATTAACGTTAGAGAAAGACTACATTAATGACAGCAAAAACTTATGAAAAAAATCATTTTCGTCACCATTGGTTTTGCCTTTTTGATGTCATTTTGGTATTTCTGTTTTTTTACTATTTTTGTTGTTATTATTACTATTATTGATGATATTATTGTTATGTTATTATTATCATCGTTGTTTTATAACTGTTGATGCTATATTTGTTTTGTTTCTTTGTTATTGTTCGTGTTTTTATTCTTTGGATTTTTTTTCTCTTTATCTTTGTTGATATTTTTTTGTTTATGTTGTTATTTTACAATCATGTTGCCTCTTTTATTATTATTATTATTATTATTATTTTCTTTTAGAAACTCTACTGTAAAAAAAAAACTCTGTTTTTGACATTTTTATTTACGATTTTTGGTTTGAAAAATTGTTTTCTTAGGTTGACGTCATGAATATAAACTTCCTTAACCTATATCCACGTGTGCAACACACACACATATGTATGTGTGTTTATGTAATACCAGGATGTATAGATACCAAAATAACAAAACAACCCCGCATACACGAGCTGTTTTTAGTTGTTTTTCAGTTACTAGTACACCGTTTAACCATAAAGATGTCTTCGATAATAATACATAATACACATTCACACCATCATCTTGCTATTGGTTTGGTCGTTTGTTTAAGAACATGGTCAAATTAAAATTTTACAGTGTGATATTCGATTAATTTAATACAGCCATACTACAGCAGTAAAAATGACGCAATAACGCAACGTGACAAAGTAACTTAGCAAAATAACTCGCAATACACGACCACCACAAACATACAAGCAGCAAACAAACAACGAACGAACAAACAAACATCAGAGCAAAACCGCAAAACATCAACCACTCCCAACCAACTTACAAAGACCTGATTGAATAACTTTCAGAATGGTTCGAATTATCATCAGGTATACATGAAGAAAGAGTAGATTTTTTCAATCATAACCTGTCACGCTTTGAAGTTTTACGTGCAAATGAGAGAGAGTAGAAACTAGCAAAACTTTATTTTGAAAAATCTGCCCTGGTTTACTTCTACACTGGTAACAATTTCATCGTTAGTTATTTACGTTAGTTATTAACTAAGAAAGATTAATTCGCGTATGCAAAGTCTGACATTCACTTCAATGTTTATCTACCCTAGTAATATTATGATTCATAAATAATGATAAATGCATTTGCGGCTTTTTTTCTATGTTGATTTGGATGCTTTGCAGGCAAGGTTATATAAAAAATTTCATCACAGCAAATTAACGATGTAAGAACTGATTGGAATTGAGTGCAGTTGAACCAGTGCACAGCGCAACAGATGATGTTTATGATAGGTTGGTAGGTAGGCAGTATGCATTTGCAGACTTGTCTAGAAGATGGCAACAGCTGTCTGAAATTAACAGTTAATCAATTTGTCTGAACAGAAGTTTCATTAATATTTTGGTTGTATATGCTCGTCTGTCTGTTTGTTTGTTTGAATGTCTGTTTGAGTGTGTTTGTACGGAACATGAAAATGATGATTGAGAATAATTCTTCATGATAGTTTGTAACAATCTGGATGTCGAAAGAGAGTATTGTGGCAATTCCAACTATTTCTAACCAGTTTTTAATGTAAACTCAATTTAAATCAAATTTTTTGGTCAATCCTTTCCTAATTGGATTTATTTTAAAAGTGTGGAAATCTAATAGACAACTTATTTTTCAATGTTGAGCAGTCTTTCAATTTACTTCAAAGCAGCAAATTTCTTCAGTCATTCATTCGTTCACTCAATCTTTCCTTTATTCATTCTCGGTCAACTCGATAGTTAAAACTTGGTGAGGTTTAGTTTTTTATGTTTTTATATCAATCTCTCGAGACGGTAAATGTGATAAAAAATGATGTAAACATACAAAAATGGTGAAACAAATAAGAATCAAAAAATGAAAGAATGAAAGAATTAATTAAGTGTATTAAGGAATAAACACATCAGTAGTGAACGACTAACTGAGTGAAGTAAAATGAATAAATGAATGAATGAATGAATGAATGAATGAATGAATGAATGGAGAGGGAAAAAATATCAAATGAACAAACAAAGCGTGAATGTTGAAAAAATTATCAAATAAATATTATTTTGCATCTAGGTACGTTTGCTGGCGTGTGTGTGTGCGTGTATGTGTGTGTGTGCGTGTATGTGTGTGTATGCGTGTATGTGTGTGTGAGCGCTTGTTCTGCTGCTGTTTGTGGATGTGATTGTATGAGAAACATCTGTATTTTTCTATCCATGATTTTATATGTGTTTATTTAGAATATGTGTTAGGCTTCTTGGATTTGTTCGCTAGGTACATAGGATGAATGAACGAACATACAATGCTTGTACTTAACAGTTTAACGGCTATACAAACCGTTGATAAACGTTTATATGTATAACTTGAATGTTTAAATCATGTTTTATATTTATTTATATGTTTTATTTTTATATTATATTTGTTGGTTTCTTGGCGCAGGCACACAACAACATATGCATCTACCAAATATACAACAACCTTCTAAGGTTACTCGTTCGTGAGAAAGTATTTTTTGTAAAAGTTTTAGTGAGAGTAGCGCACACTTCAACTTGCCTTCTTCTTTTTTTTCTTCTTTAGTTTATTTTTTTACCTCTCTTCCTTTTTAGTAAATCCTTTTTAATTTACGTTTTTGTTTCTTTTTGCTTTGTTTTGTTTTCGTTATTTCAAGTGCTGTTAGCAAAAATCATATTTAATCCTAAACAACTCATCAGTGTCATTTTCCATTCTCCTCCATATCCTTCACAGTTTTCCATACTGTTTTCTCTGTTGTACTGCTTTCATCTTTCCCATACATTTTCTCCGAAACCTTTATTTTAGATTTATTAATTAATTTTATCTTCTTTTTTTTTACTTTGAAAATTGCAAAAATTCACTGATCTATTTTTAGCGAAGACGTTATAAGAATTGTTCACAATTATAGCATCATACGAAAAAAAACTCAAGCCTATTAATCATTTGCAAATGGAAAATACCGCATACGTTAAGTTATATTACTTTTATTGAAAGTTTATTTGAAATAAATAAAATTTGTTTCACTATAAATTTTTACTAACGTTTATGTGTAGCAATAGAGTAATCCGTGAAACTAACAACTACCCATTCATTCATCAGTATGTATGTGTGGTTTTGATTTATATCAACAAGTCAGCTTTTGGCTAATATTAAATTATAAATTTTTGATAAATATTTATTTATTTATGATAAACTAATTTTTAGCAAACAATATCTGAAGTTGATAAAATAACCATACAAATAGTATTTTTTTTTAAAGTAATGGAAATGTATATCGTCATAGTATTTCATTAAATCGGTAAAATATCAAATCCAGTCTGATAAACTGCTACTGATAATTCCCCACTGATCATCACAAACCGACAAAAGTCGGTATCACCAATCGATCCGAGCCAGCAACGATAACCGAAGTAACAGAAGTACACCTCAATACCTTTATAGGAAATATAATTTTACACAACAACTATGAACGTAATGTGTTATCGTTTTTGCAGACATATATATGATGTATATTTGTAGAATGTTTAATCTACAATATGATATAGTATATATTTATATATATATACATAAATACATACATACATACATACATACATACATACATACATACATACATACATACATACATACATACATACATACATACATACATACATACATACATACATACATACATACATACATACATACATACATACATACATACATACATACATACATACATACATACATACATATATACATACATACATACATACATACATACATACAAACAAACATACATACATACATACGTACGTACAAAAAATTCATTATATACTTGTAGAAAAAATTTTTGGCAATCAAAACGATTAAAGCGTTTTGTAATATTGAGTAGTGGTCAAAGTTTGACTTGAAGTGGCTTAAAAAGCTCAAATAAAAAAATTTAGATACTTAAATCTAACAGTTTTATATTGTTTACAACAGAAATGTTAAACTTAATTTTTCCTTAATTTGTTTTACCAGCTCCCGGCGATCATCGGATCTCGAATCCACGCCACGCTTCCAGTCAAATTTATAGTAGGAAGATGGAAGAATACGACAGGACAACACGCAGTACCAGTATATAAAATATCAAGTTGATCACAATATTATATAAAAATGAAAACAAGATATGAACCAGTTATAAAATTTAATAAATAGTACTGAGTCGCCCGTGCCTGTCACTTGGCTGTCAAATCTTATTGGCTGTTGGGTGATCAATTACACATACAGCTTGAAACATAAGGTTTGTTTGATCAAACAATCAGTCATTGGAAATAAACGAACTCTTATTCAAGCCGTTTTCTAACTTTAGAAAAAGATTTGACGTGATGTGACGTTTAAAATAACACATCATTTTGATCACATACATTTAAATAATGTTATTGCGAAGATTACTATCCTCAAGTCGAGATCCATCTTATATTCGAACTCAGTCAGCTGGTGAGAGAACTTTCAATATTTTTTTACCTTTTCAACCATTAGCTGAATCAGCTCGATAATATTTGGAAATATGAAACTGTTGAGAACTCACGTACACTGTCTTGTCCGTAACATATATATACAGAATGATACTATCTATCATATATATGATCGAGGCAGACTATTCTGAGTATGTTATTTAAATGGTCTGCAATCTAGATAATTTTTATATATACCATATGTTATATAATGATATATTTAGATATTTTATTCTACATATATGGTCTGCCCTATATATATATTTTTACCAAAACAAAAATATATATATATATATAATATGTTGCCCGTTCTGCCAAATGCCAATTTTCGTGAAAATAAACCAGTGCACTTTTGTCTTAAAATGGCTGTTCGGTTGAGCTTGTTTCGTGTGTCGTTTTGTGTTAAAAAAACATTACCGTTTGAAAGCTTGTTTGTCAGGTATCGTTGGTGATATTAATAGTTTCATTTAAATTTTAATAAAAATTTCAATTTTTTTTTAATTGCGATTCCTAGTTTTTGATGAGTACAGTAGGGTTGAGGGTTGCTTTTTTTAATTTTAATATTTAATTTTAATATAATTAAAATTTAAATTATCATTTTTTTATCATTATCATCTTCAAAATTTTAAATTTTCTTAACCAATTAGTACACCAATAAATTGTTTTATAATCATATAATAAATTGTATTATTTTAAACTTTAAAGTAAACTTTTTTATGACAGTTGTTAAAAGTTAAATTTTTTTAAAAATAATTTTTAATTATATAGGAATATCTTGTATCATGAGAATACAAATTACAAATAATTTGGTTCATTAATTTAATTAACTATGTAATTGAGCATGAATGATTAAAGACTTTAAATTAGTAGAGAAATTAGAGAAATTAAATTAGTACAAATAATTTGGTTCATTAATTTAATTAACTATGTAATTGAGCATGAATGATTAAAGACTTTAAAGTAGTAGTAGGTAGCTAATTAAAGACTTTATTAAATATTAAATTATATTAATAATTACTATAATTTTAATTATAATATAATTTAAACTACCAAATCAAATCATTCACGCTCAGCTACAAAGTTTATTAAATTAATAGACCAAATCATTTGTAATTTGTATTCTCAAAATACATATTATTCATATATTTAAAAAATAAAAATTGTCCTTGGTTAATTTTATTTTTATAAAACCTTTTTTTATCCCCATTTTAACATGATTTCTTGAAATGATATACATTTATGAATTCCTATATATAAATTTCAATTTTAAAATTGAATTGCAGACTCAGCTCTCAAAGTAAAGGTACATTGGCATCAACAAGGCAATTCATCAGTCCCAGAGGGTTTAACTTGGAGTTGTATAGGTGTGCTCACAAGGCATCATCACTTGCACCTGTTAAGCATAATGTCTTGGTAGTTTAGCTTACTACTTTTTTTTGATGAAATAGGTTTTTATTTGATTTTTAATTAAAAATTTCCTTAGGTTTTAGATGAATCTGATAAAGAGATAGGGGTGATGAAATGGAACAGGTTAAAATCTTTATCTATAGAGAAAGGTTTAAAGATTTGTTGTGTTGATGAATCTGCTCAGCCACATGCCATCTACAAGCTGGTAAACCTGAAAACTTATATAGAAATTGAAAAGAAACAAAAACAGGAATCTAAAAAAATGAAAATTCATCAGAAATCTCTTGCTATCAGTTCTCATATATCTAAAAATGATCTTGCGATTAAAATTGATAAAATTGTTGATTGGCTTGGAAAAAACACACTTGTAAAGATCAAAATCTCTTTTCCTTCTACTGAAAAAGTTTGTTTTTTATTACTAAATATAAATAATACAAACTGTACATAAACACTTTTTCAAATTTTTATATTTCAGAAAAATTTTGACATTTACAATGAAATCCTCAAGGCAACATCTGGCATATCTAAATTACAACAATCACATTCATCTGAAAATGAAATAACTTTTGACTTGTTGTCTGATTGTGTGAAAGGTGATGTGAATCAAATCTCAAATCTAAGGCCCTTCACACTCAAAGAACTTCAATCGAAAAATTTTTCGGAGAAGATGAGTTCTGCCAAAGATAAACACGAAAAAGCCAAAGCTGATCCAGCTGCTAAAATTCCAGACAAGGATAATATCGAAAAAAAGAATCAATTTAAAGAAAATATATCAAATGATCTTGGTGAAAAGAATAAGAAAAAAACAGAAGGACTCGTTAATGATAACAATATTGAAAATATTGCACAAGGTAAAGAGTTAAAAAAACAAGTGAAAAAATGTAAAGTACCAGCAAATACAAAAAACACTTGATAACAGTAACATTGTTTCTGAAAATAAAAAATAATTATGATTTGTTTATACAGTTCTTGAATTTTCAATATGAAATTTTTTAAATTACGCATTATGAATGTGATTGGAAAATGATGAAAAGCTCACAATAAAGTGAGAAATGGTAAGCTGTCTTTTTAGTTTAAAACTAAAAGGTATAAATTAAAACGCGTCAGTTTAATCTTTGAAAGTAACTTCACTCGTTATGAATGCTATTAATGTTCCAGCAAATATTCCCAGATAGAACAGGCTAAATGTAACTATTAATAAACTATCTTTGTTGGATAAGCATTCGACATTTGAAGGGTAGAATGTAATAAGGTGGAAAATAAAAGTAATATCTAAAACTGGGTTCTATCAAGTAGACGCCGTTCAAATTGATTTTCGTGCAGTCATTGTACCACCAACCACCGTTTATCAAGTATGAACAAAATAGCCAACTGTTGTCGTTGTCACGATCCCTGGTTGAAAACGGGATGCCATCGCCTGTGCTTCTCCAAGGGTCGGCAGGGTCGTTGAAGACGTCACCACTGTAACCAATCCATCCAGATGCAAACAGAGGGTAGTCTGTTTCATAGATGGAAATAATGTTTTGGAGTCGAAATGAAGTTATATGTTATCAGTGTTTACCTCTGTCGTCATTGTTATTTTTAAAATTTTACAATTGCAACAAACTAAAATCAGTGAATAAATTACTGCAAGCTAAGGTAAAATTTAAAAGCAATTTTGTTTGAAATTAAGTTTGAATTCTCACTAGAAGACTCTGGTCCCAAATAGAATGTTTCATAAATATCTATGAAAAGATTTCCAAAAAAATCGAGAACTTGAATCTGCAGACGATAGTTTTGACCCTTTGTGAGTTGATATATGGCTTCCAAACCCATCCAATAGTTGAAGGAATCGCCGAAGCCATCCCTATAAGGCTGCCAGTTTTTATCAAAAGACAACCAGCCGTCAGTTCTCTGCTGAATGAGCGTCCATGTCAAGTCGTAACCGTATGTTGGTAGATCTGTAAGTATTAGAAAAATTGAGGTTATAAGAATTTATGTTTTATTGAATAATACAAACAGCTTCAATGTACTAAAAAATCCTGATTTTAATTGAATGTGATAAATGGCTTAGAGTATGTTGACGGTTATATTAAAACGTAACATTATCTTCGCGTCATCAATTTTGCTAAAAAGCGGTGTAGCGTTATATTATGTTGGCAATTTTTTTCATTGATTTGATGTTTCATCCAATGCAAAGCATAAGTTTTGCAAAAAGAAAAGAATATTATTTTTGTGCAACTTTTTAAAAAGTATATTATGACATCGTGGTTGGTTACATACTTGGCGATAGATATCTTTCACGACTTTGCTTGTTCTTTTAAGTGTTAAAATTGAGTTGTTTCAGAAACATTGTTTAATTTTTTATTCAATATTTTTACAAAATTAAAAAAAGTAAATTGAATTTTTTACCAAATATAAAAGGCAATCAGCCGGCAACACAGACTGATTGAAAATTGAGAATTCGTTGCTGTAAAACAGGTCACATTTTCTAGTGGACAGGTAAAAATTAACGCCCAGACAGCCACTAAACGGAATGCACTTCAGAGCACAGTGTAATTTCGATCGAGAAATGAAACTGATTGAATTTGATTGAGTATAGCCGCACTGTTGACTGCCTCCATCATTTGACAGTTGATACGTGTATGGTCCTCTGAACTGAAGGGTGTTTGTGTAGCCCAAGCTCCACGCAGGCTGCACTGCAAACAAAAGGAAAAGTAAAGTCAGAATTTCGATCATTCTCCTACCTCCATGAATTAGAAATTGAAATACATCCTCTCTAGGTAGGTTGACTAATATACTGAAAATTCCTTCGTTATAAATTCACAATTTTTTGCTGTTCCAGTGGTTAAAAAACTGAGCGTTGAATGTTTAACACAATAGCAAATTTGCACGACTCATTTGCATGTAATGGTGTTCCGCACCGCTATGTTTATTTTTACAACACTGGTGTTCATTTCTAATGTTGCTTTAATTTTGTAACTTTTAAAACTTATTTTTTCATTTATCTTCTACATATTGGTCATCGAGTTTGAGGTTTTATTGAAATTGAACTGCGTTCTACGTTTTGTTTTGTTGTTTTAATATTTTGCTCAATTTTTTTATTTGTATTCAAATAATTTTTTCCAGTAACTGTGAAATATTTCAGCTTTTAGTTTTAATTTCTAACTTACATTTGTTTTTATTGCATTAAAATTAACAAAAATTTTGAAAACACATTACCAATAACTCTTAGGCCCATGATAAATGCTCCAACTATGCTATGCTTATAAATTAGTTCTTTGTTGTCAACTATTTTTAACTCGTACGGAGAGGCACTGTTCACCGAGGCGTGCCCGTCTATGAAATTGATGATGCTACTACTGAAAATAACGAAGGGCACCACAACGTCTAATGATTATGTGCCGTAAATAATGAATGCTTCATCTTGGACACACTCAACTGAACTGACATTTATTATCCACGCTTTAATTAATTTATTCTCTATAAATTATGAAAAAATGTTTTCAGCAGGAGTAATTGGTTAGCATTTATTTTAGAGATATTGTTTGTTCAATGAGTTGGTTCTTTTTAAAATTCGAACTCAACAGCGAAAGGTTATATATATATATATATATATATATATATATATATATATATATATATTTTGGTAACAGACTATTGTTAACGCAACACTTCAAAAATTCAACACTACTTTCAACATTGTTCAACTTTTTCATATTTCTTTTTAATTGTTTATATTATGGTTGTTAAGGTAAATATCCACATCTATTGATGATATGATGCCTGATGATGATCTAGTTTTTAGGATGTGAATAAATTCTGATGATGAAGAAATGCAATGTTCATTTGGGATATATGGAGTTAGGATGTTGTTGAGCCATTTTGCTACATTATATGTGACTGTTGGTATTTGACTAATTATTGGACGAAGTGGGTTGCCAGTTTTGTGAATTTTGACAGTACCATACATATAACCTGGTCTGTAGTCTCCAGTTAATAGCGGTGTTTTATGTTCTGTTGAGTTAGCATTTTAAAATTCATTTTAAAATTTTAAATTCATAAAATTTTAAAATAAATTTAAAAAAAACTGCGTTTAAAATTTTAAAATTTTAAAAATCGCGTTTTATATTGTTTATAGTTATTAAATTTACTTTATTGGTTTTCTGTTTTAATTAAATAATTTATATAAATTAATAATTACTTGTTCCTTTATATCAAATATCTTACATACCTTATATATAATGCACTGAAGATGAGTTATTTATAACTCGAAATAGCTATTTGCAAATTTATTTAATAAAAATTTAAAAAAAAACAATAAAATGTCTAATTTCTCGGAAATTAATAAATTAAAAAGAAATATGAAAAAGTTGAACAACGTTGAAAGTAGTGTTGAATTTTTGAAATATATATATATATATATATATATATATATATATATATATATATATATATATATAACCTTTCGCTTCATTCAGTCATTCCATTTCTGTTCACTAGATTTTTAAAATATTTCAGAAAACTGCTTGACTACTATCAAATTGATGGTTTTCTGAAATACTTAAAAGTTGGAAACATTTCTATTTATCCTTTGACGAGACAGGTGTAGGGTTATTACCTTTCATCAAGACATCAACAACTTAATCAATTATTTTTTAATTGGTTGGCAAAATTAGCTACCGTTAAATTAACTTGAAGAGGATTTTATGTAATTTTTTCGAGATTTTCAAGGTTGAGTTTCAGGTGTTTTGTGTTTCTTTTTATTTTTAATTTATAAATTCGCAACAATATATCATCCCATTTTGAATTTCTGAAATTCAAAATTGTTTTAAAAATAGAATTCAAAAGATGCTCGTATTAACGAAGTTTACACTATGTAAAAACACCTCATAGCTACCCTGAATGTATTTATGTATAGAAAATACCAAAATTGTAAATGTTAAGTTAATTTTATTTATAATAACCATTATTATACGAAGTTTATCAACCATTTAACTTATAAAGTTTTTTAATTTAGTTGTTATATTTTTGAAAATATTTCAGTTTTAACAGAAATAAGTTGTCACATAACAAATTTCACTTGCTATTACACATCTTAACAAAATCTCAAGCCTTCTCTTCCTTTCTCCATTGGAACGTTACGTCATACACGAACGGTCCCATCATTACCTCTATGACGAACAAAATCCACCTACACGTTGTCCTTGTAATTACACATGTGCGTGAACCTGATAGTGCAAGAACTATAAACTAATTAGTCATTACTTTTCTTCTACTGCTAAACTTCTACCTGTCATATTATACAGAATGTATTTATTAGGTTTAGATGTAGTATTTTATATAACAGATGACAATAATGTTTATTATATATATGTGGAGTTATGTAATGCAATGATAACAATATATAACATTAATATATTAATAATATTCCAAATATATGTGATAACACAGTGGAATAATAAAAAAAATAAAACTCATTTGGCTATTAGTTCGATCATCCGTTCTTATCCCAATAACTTTTACTTGGAATTTTTAAGTGTTTCGGATGTATATTAATATTAATTAATTAAATTCTGGACCGATATGACCGTGACGTTCAAATATTAAACTACAATTAATTTTTAAAACATTTTATAGATTTGATATAATAACTTTTTTCAAAATTTATTTAATGGAATGGCCAGTTATTTTCATTATGAAGATGATTCTGATTCTCCAACTGAGGAAGAGGAAGATGGTTACTCGCTGGCAGAAATCCGGGCAGACCAATTTGAAATAGACTTCGAGGAAACCTTGGCCTTGTTCGATGCCCTCCTCATCAATGATGGTTGTTGTGTAAACCTTTGAAATTGATTTTGATCACTAATGATTATAAATAATTATACATTGATTATTATATTTTGATTATAATAATTAATAATTAACTAATAATATTATGATTATATAAATAAATATTATTTAATTTAGTTAATGTTTTTATCATAGTGATAGCATTTTAAATCAGTTATTTATTTAATATTAACTGAGATTTTCTTTTAGCTGCTGTAACTTATTGTTATAAATTGTTATTGTTATAAATCAGTTATTTATTTAATATTAACTGAGATTTTCTTTTAGCTGCTGTAACTTATTGTCATTATTACAACATACTATTATAATTATATATATATTTTATATAATATATTATATATATTATATTAATTATAGTATGTAATTAAAACATAATTATATAATATATTCTATTATATTATGATAATATAATATATACAATTCACATGTGTAGCATTACTAGATTACTAAAACTAGGATGGTATTTAATTGAAATATGTAATGGAATTATATAGAATTATATATAATATAGAATGCACTTATTGTAAAGCATCTATTTATCTATGTCATTATTTATTATTATCAACTGAGTATAATTATGCCTTTATCTTTCTTTGCTTAACAAATAATTATGCTTTTAATTGAAGCAAATATATAGATAATAACATAATTAACTGAATGGTGAATGACATATGATTATGTGCATTTGTATAAAACTAATTTTTAATATAAACTATTTATATCCTTATATATGATTGAGTACCAAAACATAATTTGATAGATTCATTTAGCAATCATTTATTTATTTATTTAGTTACTTCCATTCATTTCATTTAATTTACCAATTTTTTGAAAAAAAAATTCAGATTCCTTCAGTGATTCCTTTTCGTTGTTTTCGTCATCCCCTCCGCTTACCTATTCTACTGCAAAGCCAAGAAGCAGCCACACGAGTTCGGATGACAAGCCACTGAAGTTTAAATCTCATAATCTCTCATATAAGGCTGCTTTGAATGACTTCATTGAGGATAGGCCCAAATCATTTCTACACGATGAGGTAAAAAAATTTTGCTCACTTGAATTTTTTATATTTTTTTTAGAATTAAAAAGTTATTACTTATATAAATGAATTATTTTGAATAGTTGTTCAAAGATTAATTTTTTTCAAATAATAAATTCCAGGTAAGCGAGTTTAACAAAGTCTTAACAGAGCTAGCCACTAACTCTCCAAAGTATCAAACTCTATCATCAACAGCATCTTATCATATCCTAGCTGAGAACGATAAATTTGTCCACAATCATTCCCACATGGGTAACAGAAAATCTAGAGATTTAAACTCATCAGATTACATATCATTGGCCCCATTTGAAAATGTTACGACTAAAAATGATCATAAAAATGAAAATTATTTTAACTTATTAAGGAAGCATAATGTATCTAGCAACAGCAAACACATTAAAAGTGGCAACATCAACAACAACAGCACCAACAACAACAACCAAGTAATTCATCAAAGTATCAACTGTTCTGAAAATGATGACGACTGCAGCTCATGTTCTAATAGTATGTCAGGCTTCAATAAAAAAGGTTTGTGTAGGAAAAATTCCTTATTCCTATTTATTAATTATTTTTTATTTTTATTTCATTTAGTAAAATAACTTACATTAACTCTATCTATTATGCCTAACAATGTACATGCATTATACATGCATGTCTCTATATATATATATATTTATTATTGTAATTTTTATATATATATTGTTAATTTTTTTATAAGTAATTGTCATTTTGATTGATTTTCTGATTTTTAATATTTTTTTATTTATTTATCTTACGTGTATATATTTTGTAGCAATCTGATATGAATAAAACTAAAGAAGTCTATTTGTGAGACATGTTTACGTAACCACTGCTTCAAAATAATGCACTCTGAATTGGCATCTGCATGGATAGTGATTGGAATGGTGAAGTGATGAAGACGAGTATGAAGAGGAGGATGGTTTTGATGATGACGATGATGGTGACGATGATGACGGTGAAGATGGTAATGACGACGGTGATGATGGTAATGATGCAAAAGTTGATAAGACGAGGAAGATTAGTTGTATTGTCAATCTTATATGATAGCTCAGTTCCAGTTTTTTTACGAATTTGATTGAATCAGATGACAAAAGATAAATCATCACCACCAATGAATATATATGTCGTCAGTAATTGTAATAATTTATGTGTCAACTGTATTGATCTTTATTGACACACATCTTATATAGCAAAGCAGGCATCATATTATGGCATTTGCATGTTAATTATATTTATAAATTTTCAGCAAAGGAAATCACTCTCAACACACATATACTTTGGGCATATTAAAACTATATTAATGCAGTTTTAAACATACATTTAAACATTTAACCATAACAAATGCATACATTTGACCTTGACCTTGACCTTTTCCATCCAATCAGAGAGTGGTCACTTCCGTGGCATACCCGTAAGAAGTCAATCCCTCGATATACTTGGCCACATTTGCCCTAAATGTCTGAACGCCAAGAGGAGTTCTTGTAGGGAAATATTGAAGTCGGGATATTTTGAATCCATCAGTTCGATGCAGTTTCTTAATGACGTCAACGATTTCGACAGCAACAACTGTTACAGTAGTAACAATAATAATTGTTGTAATGATAATAGTGGTAATAATAATAATAACTATAATAATGTGACAAATAGATGTCTACGATGTGAACCTATTAACAGCAATGCTAATTTTAAAAAATATCTGAAGAAATGCACACAGTATGACGATGAAGATGATGATGGCGGGATTTGTACAGGCGCTATTGCAGCTGCTGCAGATGATGCTGTCCGTGGTGATGGTGGTGATCGTCTTGATGGTGATTATGACTGTGGCACTCTTAAAAAGAATGATGATGATGGTGTTGGTGGTGGAAAAAACAAGGTGTTATTGTTGCTCATTTCACTGTGATTTGATCGAATGCAATTTTGTTATTTATCATTGTTTCAATATTTGGTATACATAATTTATGTATCATTATTTTTGTGTTTCAATATTGTTAATTGAGCTTAAAATTTTGATAAATCAATTTTTAAAAATTTCAATGTCAGGATGGTTCCGATTCTGCCTACCAGACAGGTGACAGTGAAACGATGACGTCATCAATGACGTCATTAGTAGCAAGGATGGATAAAAATAAGAATAATATGGCTGGTCTGAATTATAGTTCACTGGCATCTTCAATTAGCAGATTAGATCTGGAGCAGAAATTGAGAGTCTTCAACTGTAACAAACTTGGGCTTCAGATGGAATTGGTTACTAATTGTTTGTCTGTTTGCTTGATTGTTTGTTTGCTTTGTTTGTCTCATTATAATGTATGAAAACGGGTTATTTCATTTTGAGTGACCAAGTTGAATTTGTCATTAAGATTCAATTGTAGTTTTGGAGTTTTGTAGTAACAGAACGATGTTTAGGCAAATTAACAAATTTGTTTTTTTAATTTCAACCAACCAACCACCCAACAGTCAGAATTAGATCCCTCATCTTTCATTGGCTCCATCATAATCAATTTGAACCTCACCCAGCCAATCAACATGAAGCTTATGACGACATCCACAGTCGACAGATGCGATAACTTCAGTGACAATAATGTTAATAATACCATAAAAAATACTTCAACGAAAAATAAGAGCCCCAACGATCAGGCTGGTTCGAAATTTCGCTCCCTACCTCACAAATTCGATAGTGAAAGTAGCATCTGTTCTTTCCATTTACCTGTCGGGATTTCCAAAGTCGTTCACATCACCAGGTCAATATTTTTGTTATATAATTATAATTAAATAATTGATATTATATAAATATCATAATTAAACTATAATTGGGTACGATTGTAATTAATTAATTAACTAATTAATTTTATAATTTTACAGTGAGTCTACAGTGCCCATAGTAATACAGTCGCTTTTGAACAAGTTCAACATCATTGATGATGCAAAAAAATTTGCATTGTTTCAAAAAACCCACGACAGTTGCCAGCGTGAGTGGATTGCATTCCCTCATTAAATTACCATGTGATTAATTATCGTTTGTAATCGTTTATATTAATTCTGCATTTGTGTAGATAAATTGTTTTCAAAATGTTTATTTTTAGATTTTCTATAAATAGATTTTGGTAATTTTTTAGGCTTAATGTTATTGCTTTAAACAGTTTTCACGAGGAGACAATTTTATGTCTTATAATAAAAATCTTACAATCAGATGATGGCAGTGACAGTGGTGGCTACAATTCATATCCATCGACAGCACAGACGCCCACAACGACGACGACATCGACGACAACCGCAACTTGCCACATGAGAAAGTTACTCGATCATGAGCTGCCATTGGAGATCTGCTTGAAATGGGTGCTGGATGGTGGTTTGGACGCCCTACACAGGTCTCAATTCGTCCTCCAGGAATATTCCACAGGGGAGATTATTGTTAGCTGACTTTATTTTTAATGTTTTTAATGTCTCTATTGCTAGCATCATTGATAATGTTAACAGTTATGGTGATATGATAGTTTGGACTACGATTTTGAAACACATGAAGATACACATTCATACACACACGTTCACACACACACACGTTCACACACACACACGTTCACACACACACACCCACACAATTTAAAAACACACACATACACAAATCCACAAACAGTGGAATGCATTCTCGCTGCCTGAACTGAACAACTTTCTGGCGATACTGAATAGAGAAGAAGAGAACAAGATCGAGTCAATCGTCAGGAAGTACTCACATAAGAAGAATGAGATAAGGAAAATATTAAGAGGGATGGATAATGCTATCCAAACTGTTGTCTGATTGGTTTGATTAAATGATTGGTTCGCTAGTTAGTTGGTTGATTGTTTATTCGATTGATGGATTGATTGATTGGTTGGTTGGTTGGTTGGTTGCCTGGTTGGTTGGCTGGTTGATTGTCTGGTCAGTTTGTTGATTGGTTGGTCAGTTCGTTGATTGGTTGGTCAGTTCGTTGGTCAGTTAATTAGTTGATATCTTTTTTATTGAATGACTGGTTAGTTTAATTTGATTTGACTGATTAGTTGGTTTGATTGATTGATTTGTTAATCCGATCAGTTGTAGTACAATCCAGAAACAGCTGGAACGTTTCTTAGTTAGACGATGATGATTTGAAACTCTTTCACCTTTTAGTGATGAAATTTTATTTTTATTCATTTATTTATTGTTCAGTTCACTCTTTCATTCATTTTAAAGTCATTTTAAAACTCATATTTTAGATAATATTTATATCACTGCATTGTACATATTTTGTAACATAATAAACTAATTGAATTTTTGGTTGATAGTATATTCATTTATTTATCTTTTATTTCCCTCTCTTTCTCTCTTGCTCTCTCTCACTCTCAGTCTTTCTCTCTTTCTCTTTTTTTTTCTCTCTCTCTCTTTCTGTGTCTAAATGTATACTTAATTTGTTAAAAATTTTCATATCAATGCTTGAAAATTACAGGTTTTTTTTTATTTTCTTTGTTATGGTTCTTTGAATTCGATTTTTTGCTTCATCCTTTTAAAAGTAAAATCAGATCGTGAATTTCAGGCCAAATTGTTTTTATTTTTTGCTGCTGTCATAATGATGATGATTATTACTATAATTATTATTATTATTCATTTTATAGATTTGTTGTTGGTTTGCATAATTGTTGATAATAATAAAAATCTGTTGATGATGATCTATTTCTAGATCATTTATAGTTAACTGCTTGCTTGTGTGTGCGTATGTGTGTGTATGTGTGTGTGCCCGTGTGTGCGTGTGATCAATGAATTGAAAATATTTATAATAATGATAATTAATAAATTAATATTAAAAACTATGAATAATTAAGGATAATAAATAATAATAATAAAAGTAATATTTAGATACTAAATAACTCTTATCGTTAATAATGATATTAATAGATTGTAACGTTTATATCAAATATATCAATTATTCTAACATAATAATAATGATAATTATTATTATAAGTAGTATTATTAACATTATGATAATTATAGTAAATACATTTCGAATATTATGGAATGCTTATTTTTGATAGTATTTTTAATTAGTTTTTACCACAAATACTTCTTTATGCGTATGTATGTATGTATAAGTCTCGTTTTCCGCTCCTCCAATCAATCTTTATTGGTTTTTTGTTTTACTTGCCGTTTTGTGTTTTTTCAATCTCTTTATTTTAATTCATCCATCACATCTCTCAATCAATCAATCAATCAATCATTCGTTAGTTCATTCTTTCGTACTTACATTTTCATTCGTTCGTACTTACATTTAATTACTTGTTCATTCGTTCATTTATTCGTTCATTTATTCGTTCATTTATTCATTCATTCATTCTTTCATTCATTCAGTGTTACTGGTTCATTTAATTTTTTATCTTTATAATTGTTCATTGATTAGTGCATTCACTCATATAAATAGATATTTTTTAGTTTTCATTCATTCGCTTATTCTCTCAGTAGTTCCTTCCTTCGTTCATCATTCATTCATCCATTCATTCATTCATTCATTCATCTCATCTATTCGTTCATTCAATCCGACTTTTATTTTAATTAGATTGAATGAATGTTTGTATACTGAATAAAATGTAAATTAGCATTGCGTGAAGAAAAACAAGAGGATGATTGAACAATTGAACTAATGAATGAGTGAATAGGTAAGTAAATGAATGGATGAACGAACGAACGAATGAATGAATGAATAAAAGAGTAATCGAATGAATAATGATGATGATAACGTTGACGTTGTTGAATCCCAACCATATCAGCTGCTTCAGTGTATAAATTATTTCGTATAATTAAAATTCTTCGATCCAAATTTCGTACTTAAATAAATAATAATAATAATGAAAATAATAATTATAATAATATTAGTAGTCTTATTATTCCTTTTTACATTTTTAGTGCTGTTACAAAAGATTTCTTTTCTTCAAATTGACATCTAGTTGAGTGAATAAATATGTAAAGATTGATAGATCGAAAGAACGAACGAACGAGTGAATCAATGAACGAATTAATTAATGTATGAATGAATGAATAAATTAATTGATGTATGTATGTATGCATGAATAAATGAATTAATAAATAATTTAAATAGATTACGTCTGTCCGTAGTCGCTACATCTAACGCGTTTAACTCCATTTATAAGCTATCTAATGTTATCGTTAAAGAATGACCACACACAGACAAACTCACGCACACACACACACTCACAAAACACACACCACACGCTAATAACACACACACACGTCTAAATATAAATAATGATGATGAATGTACATTTAATATCAAGAATTTCCTATTATTAAGTAACCTCCTAAGCGATGAAGACGATGAGGATTATCACATTATCTGAATTGGTATAACGATAATGAATGATCAATTATTCTTTTGTTTATTCAATTTACTTAGCTAATTGATTTTAATAAGTTTTAATTAGTTAACATTTAACACAGTGAATGTTTCAAAGTTTTCATGCATGGTTCGCTGATAGCATTTTGCGACTCTTTCAATTGAAATATGTATTAATTAAAATACTAATTTATTAATTAATTAACTAATTAGCTAATTATTCATGTGTATAACTTATTTTTTTATGTAAGGCCCGTTATGTTTATCTTTTGAAAAGTTTTCCAGACATTTTATTTTGTTTTTTGAAACGTTTTTTACGAAATTTTGTAAAAGTTCGATTCTTGCATATTTACTTATTGTTGTTTTTATCCAGACTAGCAATAAACAATTATGTCTTATAATAATAATAATAATAATATTAATAATTTTGTTCTTAAACTTTTCAGTTTTTTAATTTAGGTTTAATTTTTATTAAGTATCGTCGTTTCTTAATAGAAATCGAAATATTTAAATAACGCATTAGCAAATTAAGAGCCAAAAACATTAATAGAACAATATTAACATCAACATTTAACTATGATAACAACATTAGCAGACAACGTTAATGACGTCAACCTAAGTTTTTAACGTCTGCTAATATAGTGCTAAAAAAAGAACCAAAACAAAGAAATTCTTTGATAACATTTATGCTAAAAAATTTCAAAAATTTATGTAATATAAATTAATTATAATATGAACCAATTATAACATAAATTAATTAGGATATAATTCAATTATAATACAAATGAACAACTGAGATAGTTTGTAAAACATTGAATGAAATTCTCTAAAATATTTGCAAATAGAGTTAACTACAGAGTCTTACATCAAAATATGGACAATTTTTATAATAAAAATTTGCAAAAAACACAGACCGTTTTATATTATATTGAGAAAATGCTGAATGAATGAATGAATGAGTGAGTGAAATGAATGAATAATCGACTTTAAGAATAACAATTACTCAGTATAGCACAATTGAAATACTTAAATGATACTATAATGAAAAAGATTTAAAAATTTCCGAATTGTATATTATACCTAGAACCTACCTAGCTACATCTATCTATGCAATGATAAAAATTAGGCCTAAATAACATCTGACGTCATTCTTTCAAATTCTGACGTCATTCTTTCAAATTACCCTGGAGTCGTCGTCGTTCTCGACGTTTTTGGAGCTCCTACGTGGAAACAAAAATTAAATAAACAGTTAAGAGAATTGTTGAATTGCTATACAATTAAAATTTGATTAGGAAATAAAATAATTTGCTAATGAATAAATAGAAAAACACACACACAACGCACACTCACACACACAACACACACACACAGAGACACACACGTACACGCATACATACACACAAGACCAACAACACCAGAACACACAGGATATATCTGATCTGTTTGATGTAAGCTACGGAGAACATGGCCCACTCGTAAAATAATCTCAGGGACGGATAGTTCGTGTACGTAAGGTGAGAACGTGGAATCTCTGTGTGTGGTTTTTTTGGTTTTTATCATTAAAATTAATTTTTTATTTAATAATTGCAAAAAGGCGTTTAAAATACACACTCATGCATTTATTCATTCATTTATACATTCACCATTCATTCATTCATTAATTCATTAATTCATTCATTCATCCATTCATTCATTCACTCATTCATTCATCGAATTAAAATTTTTAAATTTGTAAATAAAAGAGAATTTTTTTGTACCATCCAGCAGATCTTTGAAATCATTCATGTTCAGTGAATTGAGCAAAGGACTCAGTGGATTGAACTTGCGAATTTTTTGGTCCATGTTCGAGGAGAGGAACTTAGCGAGGAAGGTGGTAGTCATCAAATTGATTGATTGATTGGTGTGAATGGTTATTAAAATTAATTAGTCTGCCATGCCATGATCTGATATGAGGTTTGCAGTTTGGTTGATTGAATGATTGATGACTTGATTGGCTGGTTGTTAGATTGTTAGATTGATTGACTGATTAATTAACCGATAAATAAATGAATGAATGAAGGAAAAAATTAAATATTGATCGAATGAGTGAGTGTGTAAACGACTGTTTGATTATACGGATGAGTGACTGACAGGATGAACGATTAGCAGATTGATCGATCGATCAAATTAACTGTTTAATTTATCGACAGATTGGTTGAATGTTAGTTAAATGATTGAAATTCCACAGCTACTTACGGGTTTCAAATCGTTCCACAGAGGCTTAACGATAAGAGGTGACTGAGGGTAGAGAAGTTTCAGGATGATGAAGACGATTGTGCAGAAGGTCGGCGGTACCTCCCTCAGGTAAGTTATTCGCTTCCTTTGTTTTATGAAAAACCCATCGTAATTATTATTATTATTTTTTATCGTTATTATTATTATTAGCACTGTGCCTTACCTAATATTACAAATAATTGTAATGATAATAACAAATAATAACTATTATTAACACAATCAACCAATTAATCAGTCAATAATTTAATCAATCAACGAACGAACGAACGAATAAATTGTAGCTACCATTGCGCAGTTTTAAGATGTTCAATTAATTTATCAGAAATTCTTTCGAGACAGAACCGTATGCAAACATTCTGAATTGGTTCAGTTGTGTCCGAGCCTAAACAATTATATGCGTGAGAATTTACATAAAATATACTAAATGGACATTGTTCACCCCATGAAATTTTGGTACAAGAATTGAGCTATAACACAAGAATTGAGCTATAACACAAAAACTGAACTATGGTACTTGAACTTAAAATTGACTGAGTAGCATCAGCGCTGTTATATATTGTGGCTGATTGATTGATTGACTGTTTGATTGATTGAATGAATGTCTGATTGATTTACAGTTTGTTTGATAGATGGATTGATTGATCGATTAGTATCTCTAGCCAATCGCAATAGTTTCCACATTCAAGTTAAAAATATTCTGCATGAAATTTAATGAACTGAACGACGTAACGACGACAAAACTTGCTCTTATGCTGTCGTATCGCTTAATATTCAACGGATGGCCCAGGTTCGTTAATGAAATAAAATATACAATAAAAAGAATAATAATATAAATAAAAATAAAAATGATGATAATAATAATAATAATAATAACTAGCTCCGGTATTTTCTCTTTCGATGATCCAGTGCAGTACCCTGGTGAAAACTTTTATGAAGAACAAAAGATCCACTTCCTCGTGTTTTGTTATCCGTTTCTTCTGCCCTATTCCCACTAGGATTATGAATTCCGTCTTTATTGGTAGTGAAGTTGTTGATGACGTTGTTGTTGTTGATGTTGTTGTAGATGCTATTGTTGATGCTGTTGTTGATGTTGTTGCAGAGGTTGTAAATGTTGATGTTGTTTAGGGGGTGGAGTTTTAATGGCGTTGTTTTTGTTGATGAAGTTAGTTGGTGTTGTTTTCAGATAATATCATAAGGTTAGATTGCAATTAACATCGTTAGCAGCATAGCAGTTGCAAATTTTTTTTTGGAATATTTTTGTTATTAGTTCGACGTTAATAAATATGCAGCATAAAGTTCACCGCAATAGCAAGAAGTGTCTAATACCTGACCTGGTTGTCTGGGTTTTTGATTGGATACACGAAGTAATTGTTTCCTAGACATGTACCAAACATGGGCTGGCCAGAGTCGAGGCAATCAAATAGGTAGGGTCTTTAAATGGTGGAGCGCCATCAAGTCAGTACATGTTTGTTTACGTTCAAATGAAACATCAGTCTTTTGAAAATTCAACGACAAATTATATAATTCTTTTAAATAGAAAGAAAGAAAAAACTATTTAACTAAACATGGACTAGTGCACAAAAACACACACAAAACAGATACACAAACAAAAAGTTAACATTCAGGCATACAAATAGATACAAAATATAACAGGCGGACATTCAGACATATAAACAGATAGGTATACAAACATACAAACAGACAGACAGACCTGTACAAATTGTACACCCTACTAAGACATGGAAGTTTTTTGTTGACCTTGACATTTTCCTTTGTCCTATAGGTCATCATCTCTTGCAGGAAATAGTCATTAATGGAGATGTCGAAACTGACCCGATAGAACGCGCACCAAACCACCGACATGCATATGTAACTGAGTGAATGTTTAGCATCCTTTGTCGCCATCGTCATAATCACTTGTCGCCATTGTCATAACACTATCATCGTCGCCATCATTATTTCCGTTGTCATCATGATTATAATCAAAGACGCAACGTCAAGAAATATGTGAACATTTTATTCAGCCATATTTTAAAAAGTTTTCTAATGATTAAACAGATTTTAATTAATTCGGAAGAGAATGAAACCTGAGGTTTTCGACCAGGCACTTAAATGAACTCATCATGTTCATGTAGTGGTTGTGTTGGTGCATAACTATACTGATCGCTTTCGCCTGTCCCTATAATCGTGGTTAAAACTTTCTTGCAAATGGTATAGGAGTTGTAAAAAAACTTATTAAGACAGTGACATGATAAAGCATTTATAACTAACAACCATTCCACAATTAGATAAGAAAGGCCAACCTTTATAAACTCAATTTTAT